TCTCTTCATTTGACATCTCATTTTGTTCACATATTATTTTCCATATCTTATTTGGTTGGCTGTGTTTTCTTGTAGTTCACTGAGCTTCTTTAAGATGGCTATTTTAAATACTAGGTGGTTCCACATCTTCATTTTCTTTAGGCTATATTACTGGAGCTTCATCTTATATGCTCAGGATGCTATATTTCCTTTATGCTTCATGTTCTTTGGATCTTTGCACTGGTATCTGCTCATTTTAAAAAGTAGCTACGTCTCCCAGCTATTCCAGAGTGGTTTGGATAAGGAAGGACCTTCACAAGTCAGCTTAAACAGGGATTCTTGGTGGCCTGCAGTGGATCAGCCAATAGGATCTGCAGGCAGAGGGTCCAGTTACAGGGTCTGTGGGTAGGTGAACATGCCTTGTGCCAGGGACTGTGGACTGCTTTTCTTTTGAGGAAAGTCTGATGCTAACCTTATGTATTAGTATGTTTGGTACTGCAGTAACTAAATACCTAAACCCAGGAACTTTGTAAAAAAATGAGATTTATTTGGCTCACAGTTTTGGAGGCTGATAGTCCAAGATCAGGTGGCTCCATCTGTTCAGTTCTGATGTTGACCCCATTGGCTTTGTCAGCATGGGAGATGGAAGTATGGTAGAAGCATGGGAACATCAGGGAGACAGAGATCACATGATGAATGGGAAATCAGAGATTCATGCAACAACTTTGTGCTAACTCAAGAACTAACTCACTCCACCTGACCAGCTTTAATCTCTTCTAAGTGCTGTGTCCCCATGACCTACCCACCACCTTCTGCTTGGTCCCAGGTCTTAATTACCCAGCACTGTCATTCTGATAACTCTTCTTCCAGTACATGAGCCCTTGAAGGACAGACCACATCGAAAGCATAGTACTTTATATCATATTTTCCTTTTGTAGAACTTGAGGGGTGAGAGCATTTCTTGCCACCTTAGGGGGAGGGAAGACACAGATAAAGTAAAATGTGTCTTCCTACCATTTTCCATGTGACTTTGGTCGTTTCTGTACTCCACCAGGGTGCTATTACCTCTCACTTGGATTGTAGCACTCTCATAAAGGCTTTTGCACCCTTGGATGGTTGTTAACTTGGTGTTTTTGTAGGGGGATGCAGCCTGGAATCTCCTATTCTGTGATCTTGCTGATGTCACTTCTCAGTAACACTTCTTTTAAATTCTATTTCTAGTAACTTCAATACCATAATTTCCGTCCCTATGTCCCAATTTTATTTTTTTCTCCTAGTCTTGGTTTTCTAGATAGGCTTATTAATTTTATAAATTGTGCATAAACATTGTAAAGGCTCTGTAGGAAGTGTTAGGTTCTAGAAAGCAGTTTAAATAAAAGTGCAGCACCTGGGAAGAGTTGATGTGAGACCGTATTTTAGTCTTCTAAGGCCCAGTGTACTCTAGCATGCCTTTGTTCCTGTGGTGTAGTCTTTCAGGGATGAAGGTCTGGATTAACACCAGTGCCCAGCTACTTTGTTGGGACTTGAATTCTAGCTTTTACTTCCTCATCTCTGCAAGACTGCCAAGTGTTTTCTTTAGCTTTTGGACATCTCAGCTTAGTACTTTTAGAAGGGCAACTACAGTTCATAGCCTATGTGGCTTATAAATAAATGAGTAGCTTCAGAAGAAAAGCAGCAATAAAGTGCCAGTGGTTCATTTTAATGTTCTTCTTTATTTCTGGGATCTTGGTTCTTGGATGTTCTGGCAACTTTCTGAGGCTTTTGTGTTTGTGTGTGTGTGTGTGTATGTGTGTGTGTGTGTGTGCATGCATGTGTGGTTATTGATAGGAGGCTTGGATGCTAAGGGAATTTTTACTATCTTTATGTGTGTATTCTTTGGGCCATGTGTGGTTTACATGTCTTTAAAAGTTATTCCAAATATTTTTTACAACAAGACTGGATTAAAGAAATAACAGCTCTAAAGAAGGACAAGGACAGCAAATGTAGAGACATCACACTGATACGTAGAGCTGTGGCAAGTAATATTAGCAGCAGGGTCGGCCACTAGTGCAATGGAACAGAGTGGGGTACAGAAAGAGAACTACCCATAACCACTGGATTTATAACAAAAGTGTCATGGAAGGCCTCTGGGGAAGGGATGATCTTCAGGAAAGATGTGATATTAAATGGATGAAATTAAAGAAAATTTGAGTCATATTGTACCATAAACAAAGTTGGTATCAGGTAGAATGTTGTTTACAGGTATAACTATAAAATTCCTTGAATATTGTGTAAAAATTTCTTATGATCTTGGGCTAGGCAATTATTTTTCCATCAGGGCACCTATAGCATTAGCAATAAAGGAAAAACAGGAGAAAATAAATGTACTAAAAATAAGGTACCTATGATATATACAAAAGACTAAATCAGCTGGTATTTTAATTGATACAGATAGATGTTTGTAATGATTAGACATGCATCTTGACTATAAAGACATTTTACAAATCAGCCTTTCATGTTGAGGGAATTTAAGAATAAATGGACCTGAGTAGGCACATCACAAAAAGGGCTACTCAAACTTCCAATAAACATGAGAAGTACTCTACCTTACTAATCATCCTCAACATCCTAACTAAATTATGATGACATGGCTGTATGAACCCAGGAGCAACAGCAGCAACAACAACAACAACAACAGCAAAAGTGGAAAATGTCAAGTGTCAACAAAGCTATGAAGCGGCTGGAGTCCCTGAGCCCTGCTGGTTGGAATACAAGCTGTTATACTCATTTTGGAAAACTGGCCATGTCTGCTACTGATGGATTTTCAGCAGTTTTACTTTTAAATACATGATCAACACAAATCTGTTCAAATGAATTGTAGTGGGCCATTCATATCAGCAGTATTTCTAGTAGCCCCCAAATGGGAACCATCCAGATATCCATTAGTAGTATAACGGGTTAGTGAATGGTGGTGTATCCATTCGGCTGTACATTCTACAGCAGGGCAAGGTCAAGACTTCCTGCTATACACAATAATATGGATATTTCTTCAAGAAGAGTCTTGAATGAAAATTAGCCATATGAACACAATCTGTCACAGAATTCCATTTAAATAAAACTCAGCAACAGGCAAAGCTAATCTCTCATGTTTGATATTGCAGTAGCTCTCTTCAGGATGGTGGAATTTCAAGAAGACATGGGGATATCTAAGTGGGTAATATTATTCTAAGTCTTGATTTGGATGCTGTCTATGTGAGTATCTTTGTGACAGTTCACTAGCCAATTGACTTTAAAGTTATGTACTTATACATGTTACATTCAAGAAACTTCTATCTACAAGTAGATAAGTGCCATTTCAATGGACAGAAATATTATAAATAAGGTTTGATAACAGAATTATAATTTTAAAAATAACTGAGTTCTCTAGGCAAATCACTCCAGGCAAGAGAAAATATCATGAAGGTGCTACCAAACCACACTGACCCTTTCTGCATTTCTCTCTCCCATTAAAACTTGTTTTGTGTATTTTCCTTCTAGAGTACCTATGTCTAGATAGATTAGGAGGTTTAATGTGTTACCTCACCACTTAGATTTGGTTGCAGACTTATACTAATAATTGATGTGGAAAGTTTTGGCATTCAAGTAGCCAGGTGGGGCATTTATTTTACAAGAATCTCTTTAAGATCACAATGTATCTTGGGCAGTTTGGCTCACATCATGGATAAATTCCTGCTGCAGTTGATGTACTGCCATATATAGATAAACTTCCTCTGGCAAATACTAAAGCAGCATTTACAGTCCTGAGCTTCCTCTCTGTCTTTCTGTTTCTGTCTCACTCTGTCTCTCAAAAAATCAACATACTCCTAGTGAGTAAATTCATATCATCAATATTACCAGTTTTCCCTTTGCTTTCAGTGACGTATTTATCAAATCCAGCTTTTCTAGACAGCTTATGAAAGTAAAGTTGTAAAGGATGTAGCTCTTGTTTAAAAGTATGGACCAACGTTGACATTGTAAAATGAGTTAGATTCCATTTGAGATCTGTTAATTGGATTGCATTAAGAATTTTATTTTAATTTTTAAATTTTCCTACACTATTTCCCCAGCACTTGCATTGTCATCATAAACAAAAATTTTGAAGTCATAAAAGAAAAAAAAATTAAGGAGCAAAACGTGGAGAGAACAGAAAGGGCAGTTTTTCTCCCAAGTTAGTTTGCTGAGTTGGAAGCGAGGGTGTAAGACAGTCAGGTGTGTGGTATCAGAATTACAGTCAGTGCTGAGAATTAATTATCTAAATAACGATCTAAAGAACGACTCATTTGAAATGAGCTCCTTTAGGGGTAGGTGGGGTCCAGAGGTTTGCAAGCTGTCCGCTTTTCAGTGCGTACTCTCTGCGTTCAGTTCAGTTTTTTCCTTCCAAAGAATCTAATGTGCAGAGTAAGTCGACCTGCTGGGGGCAGTGTGTGCCTGCCAGTCCGCGGTGGAGCCTAAACCCTGCGTCCGAGCGAAGACAAAAAGCCCTGCAGAGCTCCAGGGAGGGCGGCGATGGGCTGCGCAGGACTTCACTGCTGGTGAAAAAACGGCAGCCTGCGCACGAACAAAACCAAAAAGGGATCAAAATGGAAAATCAAAGTTTGGTTGGGTTTTCCACAGTCCAGTAGAAGTGCAGCTTGTCAAAAGATTATTCTGTAAAGCTCTCTAATAGGCGTTCCAAAGCCCCTTGCTTAATGCAGTCAAAACAGAGATAATGAAATCTCTCCCAAAGTCCGCCTCGGAGCAGCTAATGGATTTGCAGGCTTTCCCCACAGAAGCGCCTTGCGGATCAGAAACAGCTCTGGGCGCTTGTGCTCCTCTACCTCGCATGTTTGATTGGAAGGTGAACAGAAAACTCTGCCTTCCATGAACCTGGGAAGTTTTGCTTTTCTGAGGAGTATCACTGTCCAGCCAGGCTTGTTCTGAGTGTGTGGGAAGCGCTAATGATAGTCTGGAACGCTTGTTTTTTGACTCTGTCTGAAGACAAATCTATTTTCTTTTTCTGTTAGGCGTGAGGCAGAAAGAAAAAAGGGCCTCATCTCAGCAGCACTTCAGATCCCTCGGTGCCCTCATATGCCCTTCTGCAGGACGCTGGGTAGAGGTGGCTCCAGTGGGCCGGAGCCGCCCGCGCAGAGCCCAAGAGCTTCATTCCCTGAAGCAGACAGGAGAAGGTAATGACAGGGATGAAATGCTGTCACCTGCTTTAATGTCTGCACACTTTCTGAACTGTTTCTCACTTCCGAAGCTTAACACTACCAAGACTCATTTGCTTATATTTAAGAGTATTTTTAAAGCCTTTTTGGTATAGAATATAACAAATGTGCTGGTAAATGCACAACGAAAAGATGTACAGTGTAAGGGGTTCATGGTTTCTCACAAAGCAAACAAGGTTAAAGACACTGATCAAGACCGAGCATGACCAAAGCGTTCCTCAACCTGCTTCAACTCACCAGCCTGTGTTCCTGCTCTGCGACTAACCAGTGCCCTGATTATCGTAGCGAACAGCTCCTTGTCCTTCTTTCTGTCTTTACCTCCTGGATTAGTCAGGGGTCTCCTGAGTTAGTGTGTGTGTGTGTGTGTGTGTGTGTGTGTGTGTGTGTGTAATATAGCTCAGGAGATGTACTATGGGACCTGGCCCATGCAATCATGGAGGCAGAGGAGTCCCGTAAGCTCCAGCTACAAGTTGCAGACCCAGGCGGTGTAGGGGTATAACTGAGCCTGAGACTCAGGAAAGTTGCTGGTGTGAGTCCTGCTCCGAGTCTGAAGACCCGAGCAGGGGCACTGGAGGTGATGCAAGACTGGAGAGGACCGGAAAGCTCAAGAACCGGAAACAGCAAGACCCAAGGGCAGGAGGAGCTGCTGCCTCAGCTCAAGGGGGACAGAATCCACACTTCCTCTGAGTTCGCGCCTGAGTTTGTCTTCAGCAGGTGGGGTGATCCTGCCACGCTGATGAGGGCAGTCTTTGTTCCTCAGCCTGTTGATTCCGGTGCTGTTCTCCTGACACACCCTCACAGACACGTCCAGAAATGGCTATACCATCCATCTGCGCTTCCCTTAGCCTCAACAAGTTGACACATAGAGGTAACCATGCGCTTGCTATGCATGCCCCCCGGAGATCTTCATGCTGTACTTCCTCACGGTCTTCTTGCTGTCAAATGCCTCCAGACAGATTTTTTTTTTAAATAAAAAAGTGTCTTAGTTTTCTAGTTGTCCTTAGCAGAAGGGTTAGTTTATATTAACCAGCCTACCATTCCTAGAAGTAAACGTTATTTATTTTTTATTTTCTATTTTTATTTTATTTTACCTTTTTTTTGAGACAAGGTCTCACTATGTAATTCAGGCTGGCCTGACTCACTGTATAGCCCAGGCTGGCCTCAAGCTTAGGATGATTCTCCTGCCTCAGCCTCCCAACAGCTGGGATTACAAGCAAGCAGCACCATGCCCGACCTAATTTATTTTTTAATTCAACAAATATTTATTGTGTACCCACTAGCCAGGTACTATGCTAAGAACTTGGGATTCAAAGGTGAATAAGTTAAGTGAAGGATTGCTCTTAGGGGAGGGCTGCAGACCACATGAGAGATTCAGACAGGTAAACACTACCATGCTTGTCCTTAAAACCAGCTGTGAAGCAACATGAAATATATCCTACCATGAAGATAAACAGTAGGTAATACATTAAAATAGATAGTAAACATTGGTTTTTATAAAAATACTTCTTTTCTATAAGATTTAAAAAGAATTTCTTTATAAGCAAGTATTTTGGAATTTAAGAGATACACACACACACACACACACACACACACACACACACCCCAGAACTATTCAGGAATATCATTTGTAGCGATTCTGGTTTTGTAACCAGGATGTGCTTGAGCCGAGAGCTTCCAAATGCAATGCCTGAGGGAGGAACAGGGTCTGCTGACTGAAGTTCCTCTCTTTTAGCCTTGCACCTCACACATTTCCTTTTCCTGCTGAATTTTATTGTGTTCTGTAGCCTTCCCTCCTTCCAACCCTTTGCAAGTGTAGAAGTTAAATCTGCACAGGTCACAGGACAGGCTTGCTTGCCATTTCTCTGCTTTTGGGGGAACCTGGGTCCTGCTTCTGATGATTTCAAAGAGCTGAACCTTGTCTCATCTCCATGGTGATTTCTTCTCTCTTTACCCACAGTGCTCTCCCTTGAGATTATCCTTCAGTGTTTCGTCTTTCTCACTATGTCAATATGTCTTACCCTGAAAAGGGTGCAGCATTCTGTGAGCTCCCCCAAACTAAAAGTGAAATATGTTTTTTAAAAAATGTATTAATTTCTGCAAAGAAGGCGTATTTTAAAGAACATTTTTTATTGTGGCATTTTGCAAACACACTCCAAACCTGAGCCACAAATTCCCACAGGGCCGTTATAACAATTTCGTAGCTCTTCTTTCACCTATCCGTTCACTATTTGTTTTTTGGGGGAGTTTTTAGAGAGTACCTTAAAGCAAATTCCTGACATGACATTTCTTCTGTAAAATCTTTAGTATGCACCGCCAACTGCTAATTTCTTTTTCCTTAAATGACTATGGTGCCTTACTGTAACTAGAAAAATGAATAGTGAGTCCTTCACCTTATGTAATTTTCAGCCTGTAAATCAAATCTCCCCAATTATTTTCTGTAAGTCATTTTATAGCTGAACTTTTAGATTTTATCATTCAATTATTCTAATTAGGATTTAAAGTTTATTCTTTGGGAACTAAAATCTTTTGTGATTGTAATGACCAGCCATCCTCTTTTTCATGCTATTAAATTGTTGGAGAAACAAGATTATTAGTTTTACAGAATATACCATTATCTGGATTTAGATGGGTTCTCTCTGCCACGGGAATTTAATTTCTAATTCTTCTGTGCTTATATTTCCTTTAAACTACTTGTAACTGGAGAGATGTCCTCTCTGTTTGATGATGGTCGTGTTTTACATAGTTATTACCTTTCTAAATCAGATTTTCAAATTAAAAGATAAAATGTAAAGGCTCAAAATCTTTACCCCTAGAAGCTGAAAATGTTATAGATGAAGCTACTCAAGGGCAAGCGGAGTTGAGAGTCATTATTATGGTCCTCCTGTTGTATGTAGCACTATGCTCATGGTCACTCTGAATGAATAAATGCATGGATGAAGGAGTTTTTCTGAGCGAGCTAACGAAAGAATAACTGAATTTACAATTCCTTCCCTTGTCATGCTGAATTTATCAATAAATATTCTTAGAGTCTAACCAGATTTTTAAATGACAATATAAGGATAAATATAGTAAATAAGTACTTGGCCAATTGACCAAATTGAATACTACCTCACTCCAACGTATTTTTAAAGTAGTGCATTTTATTTTTTTCATTGGTTTTGTGGTGCTAAGTACAACATGCGGTTGTTTACATATTAAGAGGAATATAGAAATCGTAGCAGAGTAAGGGGACTATAGCTGAAAACGCTGCAAAAGGTTTGGTCTAGTTTTTCACCAAATGTACAACTCTTCACTACATTATTATTGGTCTGTGATTATTAAACTTCTGATTGAACACATAAGTGATAGAAAACTCACTGCCTTTGTAATACAGTCCATTATATTTCAAGATGGCAGTAATTAAATAATTAATTCTGATTTTACTTTCTGAAGAAGTGGCGCACTCAGCTTTATTGGGTTTCCTTTATTGGACAGGCAGCCATTATAACTTGAAGGATGTTTTAAATTACTGATTAACTCATTTAAAGTCTGGCTCTGCTACATGACTATAATCTCCAGGAGGGCAGACAGCATGTGTGAATTATTCAGTGCATCCCTGGTGCTCAGTTCATGTATTTATTGAATGGAGAATTAAGCGCAGAAAGACTTAATGATTTGCTTTATGATTGCTCCACAGAGCTGTGAAGTTTGGTTTACAACTCCGGACCTTTCCGGAGCTAGAAATATACTTGCACCTAGGCTTAGCCCAATTCCATTTTTAGGTAGAAGCTTTTCTTCATACAGTACGATGCCATGAATCCTGAGCCTTCTTTCTAGTTTCCTGACACGTTGCCTCACGTGATACAGGGATTTAACAACTGAAATTCTTATTTCTTCCTTTTAAGATTTTTGTTGTCAGAAATGAACACATGGGTGATTCTCCAACATGACTGTTACTCTCATTTTGATATTATGAGTGGGTTAATGCATTCTCTAAGATTGCAGTTTTAAATTTCCTTGCCATATCTCATTATTGACTCATGATTTACTGGACATGGGCCCAAACCTTCTGTTCAGCCCGTAGGCACACTGATCACTGCAGCGCGCTCTTCTTTCTCTCCCTCATTGTGCTAGTAGATTATTTTTTAAATGTAACTACAGACATCACTGGGCCAAATCACGGGCTTTACATCTTTATCGATTAGATGACATCTTAACTGAATATGGCTGAATATAAGTGTATGCGTCTGATTCCAGAAACAAAACCAATAACTGCACAAACCATGGGGGGAGTGGATGTTGCTACTTAGCAGCCATTCATGGAGTCATGATTTCAGGACTTTAATGGGCTCCCTAAAAGCCAGTGGATCAAATGATTGCCAAAAAATTATGTCTTCTTAGGATACATTAATATCAACTCCAGGGACATCTGCACATTAGTGCCTACTGTGTTGGTGGCCCAGAAGTTTGTACTGAAATGATTTCAAAGTGCCTCCCACCTTGACACGGAGTGATTAGCAGCTCTTTAGACTGTGTGGTCCGTGAAAATGCTTATGAGGAAGTAGCATTTGAATTGAGAATTAAATGATTGGAAATGAACATTTATGCAGAATTCTGAGGAAAGCCTTTCATATCTTTACACAAACCAAAGAAATCACTTGTTTTGTGATCTATGATTGAGTAAATTTTTACAGAGTCCTTTTGGTTAAAACTTTCATTTTAAACTTCACTTATGGGCTGGGGATTTAGCTCAGCGGCAAAAGCACCTGCCTGGCAAGCGCAAGGTCGTGAGTTCGGTTCCCTGTACCGGAGAAAAAAAAAAAAAAAAAAAAAAAAAAAAAAATAAACTTCACTTATGTGTCTGGCTTAGACCAGCTTGAACTATATAGTGAGACCCTGTCTCAAAAACAAACAAACAAACAAACAACAACAAAAATAATTTAAGTTTTTGGAAAATTAATTGCT